ATAAATAAATATAGACACATATATATATATATATGGCATGTTCACAACTGATCCGATTACAGCTCCTTGTCTTTGAACACTTTATTTTTTAGCTTTTGTTCCTCTGTGTTTTCTATGAAAATACAACGTTTGTACCAAAAGTCTAGTTAGGTCACTATTTTGTTTTCAACAGCGGTGGATAGCAAATGCCTATGGATACATATTGAAACAGGAAAAGCAGATAGTGATACAGTCACCCAGTCTCCAGTGATTTCTGGTTCAGGAGCTTTCTGAGGCAAACATGATATGTTTGTGTTGAATAGCCCTGATGTTTTTTGTGTTCTTTTATTTTTTTTCTTTCCCACATGAAGGTCTCTAAGCACTTTTTGAATCAATATGAGCTTTTAGCATCCATGACGCTATGTGACAGAGAATTCCACAGCATTACTGTGAGGTGCATAAGGAAGTTCCTCCCTTTGTTTTGAAGCTTGCTACTAAACAGTTTCTTTATCATAATTATTGTTATGAAAGACATTGAAAAATCATTTACCATTCATCTTCTCTATGCCACTCTTAATGGGGGTATGTATCATACCCCCTTAATAATTTTTTTTTGAGGCTGAAGTATCCTAATTTCTTTAATTGTTGCTGATAGGAAAGCAGTTTCATTCATGTTGGCCATTTTCAGATCTATTATATCCTTTTTGAGATGTGGAAAGCAAAACTCTTCATAAGATTCTAAGTGTGGGTGTCAAACATCCTGGAAACATCTGAAAATGTTTTACAACAGTAAGAATGGGAAATTAAATGGTGAGGTGATTCAGACAGACAAAGCACATGCTTTAGGCTACATATACCTATGTGGTTTATAGCAAATTTTATGTCATTTTTGGTTAATATTGTGAGGATTCATGCTGTCAAAACTGTTTTTGTGAAAACCCATTCTTAAACAACTTGATGTCCATGGAAGGTTGTTTACTGTTCTTAAGTGATGAGCTGAGATTTGTAAGGTTATTGAAAATAGAATTTTGATTTTTTGCTTTTCTTAAAAACTTTTGCAACAGCTTATGGATTCCTTTAACCCAACAGGGAGCCTCGTAAATTCTCCCTACTAGAGCTGCTGGGCTTTACCACAGCATATATCTATATATGCAAATACAACTTTCCTAATTGTGTGTTGTATAACACGATTTTGTTTCATTTAGTGCTGGAAAATACTCTTTATTATTGTCTGTCATTGGATTTGTACTAGCAGAATCGACATAAATCATGTTGTATAAATCATCTATGTTACCTGAGAAGTTGATGCCTTGTGATTTAAGAGCCTTGCTGTGAAGATAAAAATCTGGACTTGAACTTACAACTAATAGTGTATGTCCTTAAATTTATCGTGCCTAATACACATACGCATGATAACCAGTCTTGTGTAACTGTAATAAAATCTTCAGAAGGTTGTACCTGAAGACTGATCTTTTATCTGGTGAGCAGTCGTTCCTGTAGATGGTGCTCTGGAGTTCGCTTTTGTCTCTAAAGAACATATCATGAACAGATATTCTACCCTTTTTTTATCTCGGCAGCCTAAAAAACAAAAGAGGAACTAGTTGTATTTTTTCCTTATACCCTTCAATACCTGGTGCATTCACTTGAACCAGAATCCTTGAACAGAGCTTCATATTTCTTGTTCATACAAAAGAAAACATTTTGTTAATAGTTAGATCAAATGAATCTACAAAGCGGTTTGTAGCTGTGGAAAGTCAAAATCAGGATGAAAAGGAACAGAAGAAATAAGAGATTTTCTTAGGTTTTTAGATGGTGATGCTGAACCTGAGAAAAAAAAAACAAATGTGCAAAGGAGTCACAAGTGAGTTCCCTGCACTAGTGGAACAGTAAGAGAGCAGATGCATACAAATGTGAAGCTGATTCAAAAATAAAAACAAAAAACCCAGCCCAAAACCATAAACAAACTACCATAAGTTTCATGAAGCTACAGTATCATATTGTCAGTTCTTATTATCCAGAGTCACAAAGTATTATGAATTTTTTAAATTAATTTTTTTTTTTTAATCTACAGCATGCACTTGGTGCATATTTATAACTTTTTTGACTACTATAGCTGTATGGACAAGCACTACATTACTTTTAAAGTAATTTTTGAGGTTCTCTCAAAATACCATGAATTTTAGGAGGAATTTCAAAAATAGTAAGACTTGGAGTAAAATTGGCAACACTCTACCAGCTTAGCAGAGAGATTAACCAAGAGCTGGTTGTCAGACTCCCTGAAGTACTCTTAGATTTCTGTGAAGTAAATTCTTCTGTGTTGCATGAAGAGATGTGTGGCTATTAGAGAGCTTTTTTTTCAGAATGATATTTGAGATACAGTACTTGGTGACATGCAAAAGGTGATGTGCTATCAATGACTGCTTGCATTTATACTGTTTGTTTTTTGGATTATTTTTTTTTCCCCCAAATTATTTTTAATTGGGTTATGGAAGAGAGCAGTTCTCTGATGTTCATGATGTATAACCCACCTGTTCTTTCATCTTGTTTTAAGGATTTCTACCTGTGTGCAGTCTCGGCCCATCTCAAGTGGGAAGAATGAACTTTGGAAAAGATGTCAGCACTCTAAAATATTTCACTATATGTGGCTTACAGGAAGGGTATGAACCCTTTGCTGTTAATACAAATAGAGACATCACCATTTGGCTGAGTAAAAGGCTCCCTCAGTTTCTACCAGTGCCACAAAATCATGAACATATTGAGGTTTGTGATCCTATTAAAAAGTTTCTAGACACATCTTCCATGAATATGTTTGAATTATATTTCTACTTTTGCACTTCTAGACAAGGACGAACCTTGCACCTGTTACAAATTTCTTACATTCAGTGGAGTTGCAAATAATGTAATTATTTGGTTGATAGTATTTATTTATCCTTGAAATCTGTTATGTGTGTAAACATGAGATTTTCAGAGACAAATTCTACAAGATGTCCTCGTTAAGAGCTGCTTGTGCAGTGAGAGCTATGTTTGTAAACAACTTCCAGAAATTGGGCATTTCTACATAACAGATACCATGTGTTCTGGTGCACACACTTTGTGAAGTGATTTTTCCATAACTAACTGCTTTTGATTTTAATAAATATTCATTAGCCAATTGTGTCAACACTTATGTCCCAATCAGTTGTGCATCTTGATGGAACTGAATTCATGCCTTGTAAGTCTACCATGAAATCCTTCTGAAATTGATGAAATAAGAACTCTTTTTCAGCTGATGTGTATCACACTGTAGTATTTAAGAAATAATTTGTGTTCTTGCATATGTACATGTATAATTTAATATTAGTTGGTTTGTGTTGTTCTGGGCAGGGTTGTATTTATGTTGCGAAGAGTTATGATAAGAAAGGTCATTCCTTTGTGAGTGGTTTTTTTATTTAATAACGGAACAACAGAAACCTCCACTCCTTATAGTATTTATTTCCCCTTAAAATGGCAGCGCATGATTGCAATACATTTGACCATTGACAGCATACTGTTGCAAGTTTTGCAAGTCATGGATGCTTATTCTAGAAATACAAGTTGAATATTTACAAGGAGGAAAAAGCATCAGCTTCAAAACAACTACATCTTTACATTTGATAGGTGATGAGAATTGATGGCACCATAGACAGCTGCCCCTGCCTGAAGGTCACACAGAAGTCATTTGGTTCACAGAACAGTAAAACAGACGTCATGTTTTTTCGATTAAGCATGCCCATTGAATGTGCTGAGGTGTTCTCCAGATCTGCTGCAGGAGGTTTACCAGGCTCTGGTCTTTTTGGCCCGAAGAATGACTTGGAGGATTATGATGCTGATTCTGATTTTGAGGTTCTAATGAAAACTGCTCATGGTCATCTAGTTCCCGACCGGACAGAAAGAGAAAAAGATGCCACAAAACCAGAGTTAAACAACCATAAAGATTATGTTCAAGAAAAGCCTTCACGTCTTAAACAAAGGTTAGTAGCACATTTGGCTTGCCTTTTTTTTTTCCCTTCCTTTTTTTTTTCTTTTTTTCTTTTTTTTGTCCTGTTTCTTGAATAGTAGAAGAAAATACCAGTCAGGTCTGCAGAGATTTTTCCCTAATTCTGCCCTAAATTTGGATATAACACAGTAGGTGGGACAGTTAACCTTCATGTGATTAAATTACAGCAATATATAGATTAAAATTAAGCAGAAAACTGAAAACGTTTTTCAAGCTGTTAGAAACCTATTATTTGGTTTATTGTGAAGGCTTTTGTGCTTATCATGTGAAGTGCGCTCTAGAACCATAGAGATCCATTCTGACAGAGCTAAGCGGTCTTCAAAGCGACATGGAACATTTTTTCACATGGCTTCCAAAAAGCTGAAGGTGTTAGATAATCTTTATCTAGAAATGTACATTAGCTTCTTATCTCACTCAATGAACCAAATAATCATAAGAATATTCTCTAGCTGACATGTTCATTCTCCCTGGTTTTTCTTACGGAATCAGGAGCAGAGCACCTAACTTGATGATGCTGTGGAGATGCAAACACTGGGCTATTACCCAAACAATATTTCTGCAGCTTTTCATTTCTCTTCTGCTCTTCTTTACCAAACTTGGTTTGTTAAATATTTCAATTGCAGAATAAATCAGGGCATATGGATGGTATTTTTAAATGCATGATCACTTAAGATTCCACATTCTTCCAAAGTGACATAGGTGTTTAACAGCCTGATAATTTTTTGAGTTATGTGAGTTTAGTTTCCAAGTAACTTTTGAATATGTAGTTTAAGCTCAGAATTCATTTAAGTGCTTTTAAAAATGAGCTTGTCTCTTTCTCTTTTCTGAAGAATTTATTTTGTTTTAATCTACATAGAAGTAAAAAACTAACTAGTGTTATGTACTAATAATGTAATAAATACTATGTATTTAGGGCTAGCATGATAAATATCATGTATTTAGGCATAATGCATCAATGTAAAATTCCTTTGTGTATATATATTGATATATTGAGCTTTTCATATAGATTTTGATTTTACTTATTTTATTACAGATTTATGCTCAGGAGGACAAAGCCAGATTATAGCACGAGTCACTCTGCACGGCTTACTGAGGATGTGCTAGCGGATGATAGGGATGACTATGATTATTTGATGCAAACTTCCACGGTATCGTAACATGGGATTGGCATTTTAGCCGTTTGCTTTTTCTTTTTTTTTTTTAATAACTACATGTTTTTGCTTGTAAGAGTTTCAGAAACAGTGTAATTTTCCGGCAAAATTTTTAATTTAAATGTCTTTGGTAGTCCTGTACTACTGAAGCTGAGACCACTACATTCCTTTTGTTTTGACTTGATTGTCAGTCTAAAACAATTTCCACATGGAAAGCCGTGAATTAATTGAATCAATTTTTGAAACTACTATTGATAGCACCAAACATAAAAAAGGAAGAATAAATAGTTCTAGAAAAAGTGCATTTAACTAATAGGTCAACGTTCAGGACCATTTGAAAGCATCCGTACTAATTTTATTCAGCATTTATTTCATGGAATTCCCAGTGAAAGTTTTGTGCATCTTTCTCTGACAAGATCAGCTCTGTAAGCACTCACTCTTCAATGTTCAAAGGAAAAAAATACTTCTCTTTTGGATGTATTCACCTCTTCCTAAAATATATTAGATGCTAGAAACTGAGTGACCTACAGTATAAAAATTGTAGCTGCAGTACAAAAATAGCCTGCAATGCTATGATGCAGAAGCCTACAATACAAGCGTATAAGCCGCATCTTTAATCTTTTCCATTTTTTGTTTTAACATACATATTTCATTGGCTATATTTTGATTTGTTTATATTCTTTTGTTGCTTTGCTTATGAATTGCACTTGAACAAGCCTATGATACTCTTGAAGAGATGACATGTTTTCAGATTTTAGAGCAACAAATTAATTCTGAATCAAACTGATGTGCTGGAAATTAAACACTAACATTTACTGACATTATTTTTTTATTGACAGTACTATTATTCAGTGAGAATATTTCCTGGTCAAGAACCTGCTAATGTCTGGGTGGGCTGGATTACATCTGACTTTCACCAGTATGACACAAGCTTTGACTTGGACAGAGTGCGTACTGTCACAGTTACATTGGGAGATGAAAAAGGGAAGGTTCATGAGAGGTTGGTTACAATTTTCTTGAAATGATACATATTTTATAACCATAAAAGCAACTAACAATTTATAAACTGTAAATCCACTCCATTTAATGTAATTGGGTTGATGTAAAAAAAAATTAATACAAGAAGTGTAACTTTACTTGTTCCCTCCTCTTGCTTGTGAAGAAACAGTGGAGTAATGATCTAATCAAATCAATAGGCACTGAAAAGTAAAATAGCACAGCTTTTCTATGTAGTTTCAGACCATGGTCCTGTAAATATTGACTTCTGACCTGGTACAAAGTAGAGCAAAATACCTTGTAGTATTTTTGGAACTTTTTGGTTTTGAGCAGGCCAAAATTAGTACAACAGCAGCTCCTCTCAACACTTCAGCTTGTGTTCCATGACAGAAACTTTGTTATGCTTAACATTAAGTGATTTAAAACATTAACTTGCAAAGTCAGTTTTGTCTCTTAGAATTTTACAAAAGATTTGAGCTTGTTCATATTTTGTCATCTTCAGTTTTTATTTTTTCAATTATGAAGTCTAGGTTTCCTTGAATTTTCGCATTGGTTATGCTGGGATCCGCTGTTTCCAGCCACAAGGCCCTGTTGGTTGCAGCCATACAAAGTTGTTCTTAGTCCATTACATAAAGTTTACACACCATCCATAAATAAATTTGTCTTTTGACATTCAGTATAAAACGCAGCAACTGCTATATGGTGTGCGCAGGAGAGAGCATGAGCCCTGGACAAGGACGTAATAATAATGGTCTGGAGATTGGCTGCTTGGTTGATGCTGCCAGTGGCCTGCTGACCTTCACAGCTAATGGCAAGGAACTAGGCACGTACTATCAGGTGAGTATTTTTTGATGATGTTTTCCAGTGAGGAGGGGGAAAACCGAATCCTCAGACTGCAACATATTAGAAACTTTTGCACAATATTGGAAGAAAAAGTAATTGTTGCTGTTATGACAGTGATTTTTCCCTCCTATTTGGATTTTCTGGGGCTTTATTCCAAGGCTTGCACTTACTGAGTGTCAATACAGATATTAGGTTTTTTTTAATAGATAATAGTGTTTTGCTGTCTTCAGTGGTTATATATTTGTGCATCTTTGATGTAGGTTGAACCGAGTACAAAGTTATTTCCTGCTGTATTTGCTCAAGCTACAAGCCCCAATGTTTTCCAGTTTGAATTGGGAAGAATAAAGGTAAATAATGCTTGGTTTTGTGCAGGTTTAGGACTAATATGTCATATTAAATAATCTTTTTTTGTTTTGGTTTTTGGGTTTTGTTGTTGGGGGTTTTTTTTTGCCCATTGTTGCCTGCAATGTGTTTTTGCTATTGGGTACATTTTTATGATTTCAAGTGTTTGCACTATTGCCATTTTTATTCTTAACTCAGTTTTAAATACTTAATGATTCTATGATTCTATGATTCTATTTAAAATACAGTACATTGGATGAGAAGGGTTGTAACTGATTAGAATTGGCAGAGGATATTGCAAAGTCACGTTGAATTTTCTGAATCTCATCCTTCATGTTGAAACAAAATCACTGGGATCAGTAAGGCAAATATCTTATTCTACAAACAGAGCATAGATGACCGGTGTATCTGCAGATTAGGTTAGCGTTTTAAAATAGTTTTAAGGTACATTTAAACAGTACACTCAAGAAAACTGAGCTGAAATTTACCTCCTTGCTTTGGATAAGTGGATGTCAAAGAAATCAGAAGAGGTAAAAAGAAGAGTGGAGTTCAGACCTCTGGTCTAAGGAAGTGACCACACATTCCATTCAAGTTTTTATTTCAAATTTAGCTATTTAAAAAAAATTGTTATGGACAATGCTCTCTTGCTGCTAATCTGCCAACAGTTTCCGGCTGGTTTTACAAAGTACTGAAAATGTTAATTTCCTGTTGCACTGTACTTTACTGTACTGTATGTTGAATATATTTCTTGAAAAATATTATATATTCATTGTTTGGTAAAGATGATGAAACTGATTGTCTCTTCTGTTGGAATTTTCCAGAATGTAATGCCATTATCTGCTGGCTTATTCAAAAGCGAACACAAAAACCCGGTCTCTCAGTGTCCTCCACGTCTCCATGTCCAATTTCTGACTCATGTGCTTTGGAGCAGAGTGCCAAACCACTTCTTGAAGGTTGATGTCTCTCGGATCAGTGAACGTCAAGGCTGGATGATACAGTGCCTGAATCCTTTGCAGTTCATGGCCCTTCATATTCCCGAAGAAAACAGGTTGATGTTTGTCTGTTGAAGTATATCAGAGCTAGGCTGGGATTATGAAGCTAAACACGTAATAAAATTTATATGAGAAAAGCCCAAGGTCTTTGTATTTATAACACATGTAAATAAAGGCAGTGTGTTTTGATTTAACTAATATTAAAAATTAATCTTATTTTTCAATGTTTTAAAATCTGCCTCCTTTTGTTGTGTTTCCAACCTCTCCTAGTTTCTCTCCAAACTCCTTAATAGTATATATAAGTCTTGAATGAAAATGAAAGGAACTCTGTTTATAAATTATTAAAGATAATCTGTAAGATAGGCAAAGATCTGTTTTTGTAGAGATTTTTTAAGATTTGTGACCAATTTAATTATTCCATTACTTTAATTTTCATAAATTTAGTTTAAACAATTGAAGAAATTTAACTTGTTATCCAAATGTCTGAGCATTTTGCCAGTGCCAAAACTGAAAATAAAATCACTAAAAAATTAGGTAAGAATTCTAAACAAACAACTCCACCCCCAAACCCTCTGCAAATGAACTAGTTAGTCTGTTGCCATTTTGCAACCCCAGATCTAAAAACAATAAATGATATAAATATCTCAACCTATACTAGTTTTAAAACCTTAATTTTCAGTTATCCAAATTCTTGTTTGTAGTATGAAGAAGTATTCTGTGTTAAGTAAATCATTTTGATCTTTCCCCACTGAAATAATTGAAGTTGTACTTTAGGAGCGACTTGAATAAATTCCTGATTGAACTTTTTTATTAGTCCGTGATTCTTAGGTTGGCAGTGTTTCTCACATGAAAGCTGAAACGTGGAAAAAGTCCATCCCTTGAAGTGATATTGTGCGAACGTTATCCTTAGGGAGAATTTTGAATTAAGTAAGTTTTTGCACTGATACGGAATTTACTGTATTGTTTTTTTCTCTGCAGAACAATTGATATTTTAGAGCTGACAGAACAAGAAGAATTGCTGAAATTTCACTACCATACCCTCCGATTATATTCAGCTGTTTGTGCTTTAGGCAACAACCGAGTGGCCCATGCTATGTGTAGCCATGTGGATGAATCTCAGCTCCTGTATGCTATTGAGAATAAATATATGCCAGGATTATTACGTGCAGGATATTATGACTTACTCATTGACATCCATCTCAATACCTATGCAACTGCCAGATTAATGATGAATAATGAATTTATAGTTCCAATGACAGTTGAGACCAAGAGTATTACTTTGTTTCCTGATGAAAACAAAAAACATGGCCTCCCTGGTATAGGGCTTAGCACTTCATTAAGGCCAAGAATGCAGTTCTCCTCTCCGAGTTTTGTAAGCATTAGCAGTGAATGCTTTCAGTTCAGTCCTGAATTCCCTCTGGAAATCTTAAAGGCCAAAACCATAGAGATGCTGACTGAAGCTGTTCAGGAGGGCAGCCTCCATGTCAGAGATCCAGTTGGAGGTTCTACAGAATTTCTGTTTGTCCCTCTCATCAAGCTCTTTTATACCCTCCTAATTATGGGAATCTTCCACAATGGGGATCTGAAACACATCTTGCAGTTGATTGAGCCCCGGGTTTTCAAAGAAGCAATGAGCCAGGAGGATGAAGTTGATTTCTTAGAGAAGGAGCTGAGTTCAGATGAGCTCAAATCAGAAGAAGGAGAGGAAGAAACCAGAGGGGAGCAAGTGCCAAAGGAAGGACTCCTTCAGATGAAACTTCCAGAACCTGTTAAATTACAGGTAACAATACTGCTGTGTTAGTGGTTGTTCCCATTTCTTCACAGATCCTTTTTTCTTCACTTGGTAATTTCTCTTTCAAGGAATACAGTATTTTGATGTTAGTTAAATAGAGAAGTAATTTCCTTGCAGGAAACAACAAGATTTAGTATCTTCCTGATGATATAAACTTGTTCACCATAGATCAAACAACTATTCATTAAATAGAAGTACTTTCTCAGTGACGTTAACAGGGAATTCTTCATTTTTATGGATCCAAACAGAAAAGAAATTCCCTAGAAGCAAGGAGTAAATCCATTCTCTTATAACTTTAATAAAAGTCTTACATTTTGTGTGTCTGAGGCATATAAATCTCTTGCAGATGCCAGATATTCCTGGAGTAGGATTACTTCACATGTAGTAAATGACAGCATTAAAGATTTCAGTCACTTTATTTGATAGTAACTGCTGCTGTAAGGAATCCATCCTTATTTGCATAATAAACAGAAAATATTTCTTAGTTTGCCAACTTGTCTTCCTCTTACGATGCTGTTTTCTCAGATGTGTCATCTACTCCAGTATCTGTGTGATTGCCAAGTACGACACCGAATAGAAGCCATTGTAGCATTTTCGGACGATTTTGTGGCCAAGCTTCAAGAGAATCAACGCTTCCGGTACAATGAAGTGATGCAGGCGTTGAACATGTCTGCTGCTCTGACAGCTAGAAAAACAAAAGAATTTCGATCCCCACCTCAAGAGCAGGTACAACTTACAATGGACAATTTATTTTTTGTTGTGCTCTGTGTGTGGCAGAGTTCTGTTTGATTTCAAAGTTTTTCCTTTTGGAGATCAGTGTCATTTGCGTTTCCTTTGTATTCTTTAAGATTAACATGCTGCTGAACTTCAAAGATGGTAAAAATGATTGTCCTTGCCCTGAAGAAATTCGGGATCAACTCTTGGATTTCCATGAAGACCTAATGACACACTGTGGTAAGTCTTGTTACTGAATATTTTTACTTTTAAAATTAGATTTAGAAGCAATTTTTCTAAATTATTTTACATAAGAAACACCAACTAAGTAGTCTATAGATTACACTGTATCAATTACAAATACTATCAAATAAAGATACTAAGCTTGTAATCAAAACTAAGTTAATGTTCTTATCCTCATATCTGGTCAAACTAGAAGGGGATGCAGTATGTTTTGCTTCTGCAAAATTTTTTTGGGCTTAATGTATTGGATAACGCTGTAGCTCACTTGTTATTCAAGGGGTTCCTCTGCTCTATTCCCTCTCCCTTGCACTCCCTTGCATAGGTTGGTATAGGTCATCTTTGCTGTATCAAGTTGACTATGGCCATGTTAACCACAATATAACATTAGTGGCTGATTCTTCTCAGACATGAATGAAGATATAGAAGTTTATTATCTATTGAAATAGACTAATAATCAAAAGGAGCACTTAAATTTCTGTGGTTTTGATTTCTTCACTTCAGTTAATAAAAAACAATTAAATTCTATGTCATATTAAGATGTGAAGTATAGTAACAACTTAAATACAAAAATACCAATCTAAAAATGAAGCGCCAAAATGTGTATTTTAAATGTCAAGCTCATATCCATGAATACTGTGAATTCAGTTATAGAGTAGTTTTGTTCGGAATGCATGCTTACTTACATTTTGCGTTGAGAACTTTGTTGTTTTCCTGTTTGGAGGATACTCATCCCTTCATTTTACTTCCATACACTATTTTAAAAAAGTAAATAAAAGAGACACTTAGCAGACAGCATGAGGAGACAAGCAGCTGAACTTTTACATCATGTCCCATTAGCTAGAACAAGCTAATGCAGAGATATGTGATAATATTTTTTAAACTAATACTCTGGTCAAGGAAGGAGCTTTGGACAGGAGGATCTCTGCACTTTTCTTTCTGAATTGCCTTACTTATTGATCCCAGTTTAACTGGAAATAGCATGTTTAATTATTTAATTACTGTCTTAAAATATTCAGATAAATAAAAACATGCCATCAATATCTGACTTCATAATATATGAATTTTTTTCTTGGTAGAGCAAGCACAGTTGATATCCTTGTGTATCACAAGACAATTTGGTTAGATTGGTCCATCTCAAAGATTATTTCTGTTACTAAAATAATCACAGATTTATTAAAGCATCAAATATCACGGAGGCCTTTAGTGCAGCCTCCTACTCAAAGCAGTGTCAATGCTGAACTCAGACCTGGTTGCTCAGCGATTTTTGCACTTGGGTCTTGAAAGCTTCTAAGCACAGAGATTCCACGATGTCTTTGGGCAACGAGTTGCAGGGTTTGTGTCCTAATGGTGATTTTTTTTCTTTTTTCCTTATGTCAGTTTGGAACCCTGCCTGTTTTAGTTTGACAATTTTATCTTTTTCACCTCAGAAAAGAGCATGGCTGCATTTTCTTGCTATGTTCCTTGTAGGTTTTGGTGGACTGCAGTTAGGTCCACCATAAAGATTCTGTTCTGCAGGTTGACAAACCCAGTTCCTTCATCCTCTCCTTATGGGACAAGCGGTCCAGCCACCAATCATTTTGATGGGCCGTTGTTGGATGCTCTCCAGCTTTTCAATGTTTTTCTTGTCTTGGGTAACCCAAAACTGGATTTAGTGTTCCAGATGTCATCTCATGAGTGCTGAGTACTGGGGAATAATCACTTGCCTTGAGCTAGTGATTATGTTTCTGCTAATACAGGATATTTTTAGCTCTCCTTGCTGTTAGAGTTCACTGCTAACTGGTGTCTAGCTTGCTCTCCAACAGGACCCCCAAAGTTCTTTTTGCAAAGGTGTTTTTTAACCAGTTCATGCCCAGCCTGTATTGTCACATGGGGTTGGTCTGTCCAAGTCACAAAACTTCGCATTTGTCCTTGCTGAACTTTAAGTATCCTATCAACCCATTCCTCTGCCCTATTGAGCTTCCTGCCCTTGAGTGTGTTTTCTGCTCACCCCAATTTGTATCATCCACGAACTTGATAAAGATGCATTATGACACTTCAAATGAAATATTTTTATTTTAAATAAAAAATGAAAAAAGAAAAAAAAAGGAAAATTCAAAGTAAACTGTCAGTTGACAGAAAACCAAGATGAAATAATTTAGAAATAATATTTTAAAGGAGAAGAGGCTTTATCTTTCTCTTTGATTTTTCCATTTTTCTATAGTCTTTTACCATCATTCTCCTCTATTCAAATTACTTGTTCTAGTTTTATCGTTATTATTCTTTTCTGTATGGGGAAATAGTAATTTGCATAATCTACAAGTAGAAATCAATTCTGTGGGTCAGAGGATGCATTACAGTAGAGCAGAATTAATTACTCTGTGTATTCAAAATATGGCTATTGCAGAATAGGTGAAACAATTACACATCCTGAGTCCTATGTTTGGTTGATTAGCCAGACACCATTTGGGGATTCACATCTTGTGAAATGATTGAGAGACAATTATATTGACAGTTTGCAAATCAGAAAAGTACAACACAGAAAAGTCTGTGGGAAAACAGACATTTCATTTGAGTAATTCCAGAGCATCTCTGTGTTCTAACTGATAAGACATTTCAGTGTCTTTACCATTAATTAGTTTGGTTGAAGAGACTGCCATCCAAACCATTTTGTAATACGATTTCGTGTAAAATATGAAGTTACTGATAATCCTTGTTTAGTTTAGCATCAATTACTCTCTTAGAACAAAATATAACAAAATAACTTTTAATGGAAATGGAACTGTACTTAATGTAAAAAATCAGACAATTAAAACCAGATGCAATAAATAATTGAGTAGAATGATGTAATGTCATGAAGAAACATCCTATAAAATTCAGGACTGCTGAAGAACTCCCCATAAAACCCTTAACTTTAGAACTTTTATTGGAAACTAAAAAACCCAGAAAAAATAGTTGAATGACCTTTTTACTTTGAGCTTATTTTAGTGTGAGTAGTAGGTAGGGGTCAAAATTTTTAATTCCTTTACAATGTATGCATGAATGAATAAAGTTAAAAACATGAGAGAAATGAGCTGATGGGAATCCCGTGAAGTTCAGCAATGGGAAATGCAAGATCCTACTCCTGGAGAGGAATAACCCCATGCAGCAAGGACAGGCTAGGGACCAAACTGGAAAGTAGCTTTGCAGAAAAGGACCTGGGGATCTTGGTGGACAACAAGGTGAGCATGAGCAGCAATGGGCCCTTGTGGCAAAGAAAGCCAACAGCCAGGTTCCGCAGTATAAAAGAGACATGGACACACTGGAGTGAGTCCAGGGAGGGGCCATCAAAGAAGATTAAATTCTTGGAGCATCTTTGGTACGAGGAGAGACTGAGAGGGCTGGGGTTGTTTAACTTGAAGAGAAAGCTCATGGGGGGATTGTATCGATGCATATAAATACCTTTTGGGCAGGGGGAGTAAAGAAGGCTGAGCCAGACTTTCCTCAGTGGTGCCTAGTGACAGCACAAGAGACAATGGGCACAAACTGAAATACAGGAAATTCTACTTAAATTTTTTTTTTTTTTTTTTTTTACTGTAGGGGTGATGGAAGTCAAGAACAGGTTGCCCAGAGAGGTTGTGGAGTAGTCTCCGCCTTAGGAGATATTCAAAACCTGACTGGACATGGTCCTAAGCAACCTGCTCTAGTTGAACCTGCTTTGAGCAGGGAGGCTGGATTAGACAATCTCTAAAGGCTCATTCCAACCTCAGCTGTCCTCAGCTGTTCTCTGATTCTGTAAAGTCTCACATGCATTTTTTTACATTTTTATGGCTTGTTATAAGAAAATCATGAAAAAGCCACTGTATTGTGAAGGTGGCTACTTTCTTCTGACTGGTCACTACAAAGTATATTTATTGTAACTTTAGTTCTTTCACTTCTATTTTTACCTAAAAATCTCCTAGCCTTTACTAGTATCAATTGAACCATACTGTGTCAGTAGGGACTATATCTACACTTCTGAGCTACATATGTCCAAAACACGGGCATCAGTGTTAGCATGGAAACATGCATACTGGGGAAGTTGACCACAGAAATATATTTACTATGTATTTTATGTATAATAACACACAATTTATACAATAAATTAATAAGAGTACATGATTCCTATCTGCAGTTTCCTGCCTTGCACATATACCTGATCTATACTTGTCCCAAACTGCTGGTTAAGCATATCCCATATCAAACTCTTTTATAGTTCTAACAGAGCAGAACAACATAGTTCAGTTTGATTATGTTTGTACATACAATATACAAACACATCTGTAACTTGTTTAATTTTATTCTTTTACTATTTAGTGTATATTTTTTATTTCAGGAATTGAACTAGATGAAGATGGAACATTGGATGGAAACAGCGATTTAACCATTAGGGGTCGCCTCCTATACCTTATGGAAAAAGTTACATATCTGAAGAAGAAGCAAGCTGAGAAGCCAGTTGATGATGATGCTAAGACATCCTGTAAGCAAAATTTAATCAGTTTATTGTATCCTAAATGCAAAAGGCAAAAGAAGCAGGGGAGGAAGTTCTTCATATATTTTCAGCCAAAACAAGGTGGATTTTTAGTGAAACATCTGTGCACCTTAGAGTTTGTAGCTCTGATTCAAAACAAGCTCAGATGGAATTTTTATGATAGGCAGATTTGTTTCCCAATGGGATGTAGTGGAAAATTTCTTCTACTGGTTTTTTTGCCCTTGATCCTTTTTCAAGTCATAATTTTTCTAGAATGTATCTTGCTTTTTGTAGAATTAGTGCAGACTTAATAATTGTAGCAAGGTCCTGATTACAAGAACTTGCTCATAAAATCAGCTGCAGCAGCTTCAAATCAGTATTTGTGTGAAGATTACCAAATTAAAGAAGACTGTGCGATTAGACTATAATTTGCAAAGCTGTACTTAGGAGAATCCTCCCCACCCAACCTAAAATTCAAGATTTGCTGACTGATTGTTGCTCTGTCATTTTTCTGACACTTTCTGCTTTTTCATCTTGATAAGAATCATTGCCAGTGGCATCCAAGTTCTGCACTTGGTGCCAACTGATTATGGAATTTTATTTATTTTTCACTTGTCAATGTTGATTTTATTTTTATAATTTTTTTTGCCTTTATTGTGGTGGGTGGTGCTTTCAAATGTCCTAATTTTTTATGCTGCTACCCTACTAGCGGGAATGAATTTCTGGGCACACAATTTAGGTATTCTGACTTTGGTAAAAAACTTAGTTTCCATCATTGACTACACAGAATTCCTAGGGAGACTGGACTTTTAACTTGGTCGCTTAATGTAAGTGCCTAAAGTTATGGGATGAGATTTCCCCAGGGTTCTTATAATGAGATGGCTTCTTAGCTGCCAGTTATTAGTGTTAGCTTAGTGTTCTTTAAGTAGAAATATTTTTGTCCTCCTAAAAGTGTGCCTTCTAGCTTTGCAGTTTATAACTGTTTTTTCAGTTATCAGGCAGTGTTAATTAGAGGCTAGGTCTATGCAGAATGTGGTGATGAATCCTATGGTTTCCTAATTTTTTTTCTTGTAGTAAGCTTAAAGCTCTACAAAATCTAGTTCTCTCTCTCTCATGTTAATAGAAAGACAGTATTATATTAAACTAATTAAACAGTATTGTGGTGGCTAAGCTGCTTGGGTTCTTCACTGCAAGCAAGGTAACAGCCAGACCCACAGGTAGGTGGGATGCAGTGTTGCAGTTATCAAAACAGGAGCCAAATGACAGCCTGCTCACATGATTCTTCACAAAAAACAAAGGAAACTTACTATTGTGTCCCTTCTCGTTATTATTTATTTCAGTCCTTCTGAAATATCAGCCCAAACACATTTCATCCTTTTACTTGTTTTTAAAGTGTTTTTATTCTAAAAAATGCTATGCTGTGTGACAATGGAAACACCTATAATACAGTGTTTGGACAGTAACAATAAAATACAGTACTATTGCTCTTTTTTTCCCTTACCCTGTATTAGCACATCTTAGCACAAATTCTCTTCTTTGTTAAGCATTCTCTTTTCTGTAAACTCCTGTCCCTTCAATATCTTTCTTTAAGTACTTTTACTTTTTTTTTTTGTGAGTTTAGCCTGAAATTGCATCTGGTTTACGCCAGAATCATGTTACTGTCTCAACACATAGATTTCAATTTGAAAACATTTTTGATGTTTGGTCTGCATCAGCCACCGTCTTGAACATCAAGATATTTATTAGCCAGTTTATTGAACTTCAGAGGGATTATCAAATTTCCCTAGTCAAACTTTTCGCTGTTATCTGCTTGACATGGAAATAAATTGATTAGTTAGGTAAGTACTAAAGATGAAATTCTTTAGTGTATAACTATCAGGTTATCTCAAGAAGATCCTGAATTGATCTCACAAAGTCTTGCAAACTTGAATAGAAGTTCCCTGAGATGGGAAAAAGAACGTTATTCCATTGTCTTTATCAAATACTTTGTCTTGACTGTTAGTTCATGAATAGTTTTTCTAAACAGTAGTCTCAAATCTTAACTAACATTATATAGCTTGTCTATTTTAACATATGACTTTCCCAAATATAAATATATATATATCCCAACTAATAAAGTTTGTCAGTGAGAATACCAGATATGGGTTTCTTGCTTCATTAGAGACTGAATTCAAAATATGCAAATGATGATTTGCCATTTATTTGATTGGATTCTCTTCATTTCTATTTGTTTTGAAGGACCTTTGTTTTTGACAAAGGACTAAGCTAAATTATTCTCTTTCTGTACATTATAAAATTTTGAGTGGATACAGAGCTTAGACATGTAAATAAATATTAGAGCATTTACATGTGCTACCAGTGTATTTTTCCAGTCTTCATAATATGTAAGAAAACCCCTCAGACCTGAATTCCTGGAAGAATCTTGAAACCAATAATGTAGAAATAAATCTGGTGACTTTGTGAGCGTCTTGTATGTCTTCATAATTTTTTATGTTATCAGATTTACTTTCTGTATTTTAATTTTAATTATAGGCTTTTGGTTTTGAGATGTTTCTGCTTCTCTTGTGTGATTTCATTTTCCTTTGATAGTCTGCTAAAGAAATACCAAGAAAAAGGTGCTTCTTAAGAGCTGAATTCATTCCAATCCATGTTGTGTAATGGGTTCTGGGGGACTGCCAGTAGAGAGATGAGCAATTAATGGTAATTTTGTGATTTATGTATTTTCTTCACAGCTACTCTTCAGCAGTTGATTTCAGATACAATGGTACGCTGGGCCCAGGAATCAGTGATAGAAGACCCGGAGTTAGTGAGGGCCATGTTTGTATTGCTACATCGCCAATATGATGGTATTGGTGGCCTGGTTCGAGCCCTACCAAAGACCTACACCATAAATAGTGTGTCTGTGGAAGACACAATCAATCTTCTGGCATCCCTTGGCCAAATCCGTTCCTTGCTTAGTGTCAGAATGGGGAAGGAGGAAGAGAAACTTATGATTCGTGGATTAGGGTAAATAACTGGAGTGTAACATCTCTTTATTTACAGATATTTGTTGTTATTTGCTGTATGGTTATGGCCAAGGTTATACATGAAGTTTGAATGCGAATGGTCTATATAGGTGTAAATGCAGACACTGGTATCAGTTGTGTAGTATCTTCAGTTGTAAGATACAGCCTTTGCAGGTATGTATCATGTTCAGAGAGAGGCAAATGACATCTGTAAGACTTCTTGTGAGAAAAGTTGAAAACATGTATGTAATGTTTTATGATATTACTAAATATATCTTGTTACCATATTTTAAATAGTATGGCTGTGAAGAATCCTATCAAGAATACTGTCTATTTTGTATGAATGTAGTGACTGGTAGCTGTTGACACATACGATTCCCCCAGAAGTCATCTAACGGAGTTGTGTCTACATGTGTCTGTACATATGCCATCTTTTTATTGCACTGAATGTAGTTGGTACTATTGAACTATGAAGTAGTTCACCCAGTCTTATTTTTCCTAATGATATGATTAATAATAGTGAAATATAGCCTAATAAAGAGTACAACTGTAGAAAACATGATCATCTCTACTAGCAAAGATTTTGCGTTTTTTCTCTTACTTTTTTCAGAGAAATAGTACAATCTGAGAGATGTCTGGTGAGATTAAACATCAGCTGTGATCTATTAGAAATCCCCAATCAGCAAGAGCAATGACAACCAAAGATAGCATTATATAAAGAATGCCAGGAATGCAAGGAGAAGAAAAGCTTTTGTTGTGCAAAATAACTTTTTTTTTTTTCCTGAGCTTACTGAAAACCTCAAATATCCAAATAATGTCTATACCTAATTTTGTAGTGTCATTATGAACAATGCCTACTTTCTAGCTTGCCAGCAGGTCCCATCAATGTTCCCTGGTTGTTGCAATGTTCAGTGTACTTATGCTAAGGCTTTGCCAAAGGGGAAAGTCCATCACCTGTCAAGAGACACAACATACTGGTATTTCAAAATGCACCATGGTACTTCAAATTTAAGTTGTTACATTTCACTTAAGCTAACGAAGTCTAGAATGAGTGAGTGATTACTAGATTCTGGCATTGTTGTGCCTGGGAAAAAAACAATCATCTCAGAGGGGTTTTCATGTCATGTTCTGCTTTCTTTTTGTTCTTTTACATTTTTTTTCCTCAACATTTTCTGCTACGAGTTATAAGCTAAGATTTTGTGAATCTGATTTAATTTTAAAAACGTTTTTGGTGATATGTGAAAGTCTGGTGTAAAGAAGAAAGAGTACTTTCTGTTAAGCTAGTGTTCTCGCTGCTTGTTCCTATCACCCTTCTTGGTAGCCTCTATCATAGTCTTGTATATCTTGTAGGTTACCCAGCTGTGCCATTTGTACCTTTTATAGTCCAACCTAGGCTCCAGCACCTATTTAGAAATGCCAAATTTTTTGCTGTGAGTGGAAAGTATTCCTTTCTTCCAGCTGAGAAATGTTCCTGCTTAAAAACTCAGTTTCCTCAGAAACGCTGTTAAGATTTTTCTCTTAAGTGTGACATTTCATAATGCAGTCCACAGTTAAACAGAACACTGAAAGTGGATGTACTTTCCAAAGTAGTGTGATATTGCTGGCCAGCCCCTGAGGTGACGTTTTGACTTTCTGTACTGTGTTTCTGTAAAAGAAAGCTGCTGTAGACAAATAAGAATTTAGAATGACTTGACAGATTGATACTATCGAGGTCTTTTTCCACAGCATGAAGCATTAATGCAAAAAGGAGATGTGGTATGGATAGCTTTTGGAGGCAGGGCCTATCCTCTTTCATCTCTGGTATGAAGTCCGGCTGTAAGCTTTGGGGGAAAAAGATCAGCTAATCTTTGTGGGAGTTACTGGGAGTCAAAAACTCTGATAGTGCCACCTACATCAGACATACTGCATGCATTCTGTTGCATGACTGATAGTTGCGGATTTGTAGCTTTTAGAGTGATGCAACAGTCCTCTTCACGTCTCATTTTTTATGTGGCTGAAATTTTCCTTGCCTCATTGCAAGAGTTTTAGGTCAGAAAAAAAAAGACTGCTATAAAATGTACAATGAAATTTGAACAGTTGTCAATAGTATTTTCTAGAGTGACTTGCTAGTCCTTTTCTCCCATGACCTGATTATTTTCACATTTATGTGTGTGATTTCAAGACTAATTACAGGTTTTAGAAGTTTAATTACTTCTTAAACCAGACATTTTTATTGGACATAACATGTCTGCATAAAATATTGACATTATATATATATAAAAAAAATATATATAATATTCAGGACTAATTTTAAAGTAAATCTGTGTAAATCTGTTCTGCTAAAATATGTAGGAGAGAAGAGTTCTTTTGAGCAGTAACTCATGAACTAAGGTTAATATTTATGCAGCTTCTGCTTCTGATGCTTAGAGGAT